AAACAATTTAGCAGATAATTTTTCCAACGGCCAGGGGACCGTGACCAAGAACTACTCCCCGGCCGCACCAGGGGTCCCATTTGTCTAGCCACCGCCAGTCCTGTAATTATTTCCGCCTTCTATTAGTGGGTGCCTTGAGAATACAGCTACAGAAAAGTGCTACAACACTGGAGGGGGGAGGGGGGGGAGGAAGATTAAAGGGCTAAACTGAGGCGTTGACATGCAAAAGTGGATCGGAAATATACTTCAGATATCTACATTTCAAATAATTTTTAAAAGTTGAACAAAGAAATTGACTGGAGCGGGGTCTGAACCTGCAGCCTTTGTTCTAGCACCGTTCCAACTGAGGTGTGTGTTCTTTCAGCAAAACGAAAACAATTCACACACATCCTTATTTGTTTTCGTTTTGCTGAAAGAACACTGAACTTTTTTTGTGATCCGTGGACAGAACCTTAAAACGGCGGTTGTGTTTAAAACTCCGTAACGTGAAAAGTACATGAGTGATTTGAATGATTCTTGTACTAAAAGAAAGCTTATGAATTGCGCTTTCATATCCTAGATTCTTAAAGTCCTACATGCAAAACTTCACTAAAACAATGGTCCTGACATTTGGGTTCCTTTTTTTTTTTTTTTACTCACCCTGTACAGTATATGCCATGTAGCCAGGGATCACGCCCACATTCACGATGCTACCTTAGCAACATTAGACAGACCTTTGGAATAGCATGATTGCAATTAAGCCTTCAGTCAGTGCAGCACCCGAAAGTGCTCGCACTCTATGGTCTCGTTGATTCTTTGGTGAATTAACACAATGTAATCTACGTCTATTTCAAAGTAACCCTATCTATTTTCTTCCTCATGGAGGTCGGCTCTTGATAAAAAAAATTTGTAACATAAGTGCAGTCCTAATTAAAACATTCCAGACATATCAGACAATAATCGTTAATGTGGGGTGTTGATTACGTACAACACTGTAAACAATCGGCACAATGGGGGCAGGGCACAATTCAACACATCAGGAATTGAGATGTACATGCATCTCCATGGTACATGTAACCATCTCAAAAGGGCCTTACGCAAGGGGGGGAGTGGACATCTTTAAGACTCCACGATGGATGTTACGGGCTCATGACTGCGACTATGTGGTGCCTCAAGGCAAATATTACGATATCTATAATTCATTCATCTGCGGTGTTAATGGATTCCTGATCCCGCGGGGCGACCGTGGCTTCTGCGCTAATTCCTCGTACCGGTTTCTATCCAATTATCCGTTAATGTGACGGTTCATCTTTCATGGGTGGACATTTTAGTGCAATTGGCTGAGGGTCTGTAGGACAAGTAAAACTTCCTCTCATGGGAGTGCGGCTCAGGAACAAGGGAAAAGTAATTAGGTTAGATGATTTCCAGCGAATTTCCCACCGGTAGTCCTTCGTGTAACATCTGGTCGGAATGGTTTCATCCAACTATTGACATTTCTACAAATACAGAAAGGGCCTATTCCTCAGTGGGAATACATTAAAGTTTCTGTGTAGTTCTGTTTTTTCAGGAAAGTTGCAGTGGAGCATTTCTCCAACACTTAACCTACTTACTGTAATCATGCTGTAATGTTGGTCACTTCTCCAGAGGGAAAGCTCCACTCTGCCCACACTGGTACCTCCTGAGGGCAGTTTCTCAGACCTATTTGACCCATTAAAACTAATGGCTTGACCATTAAAACTTTGTAACAACTTCACACTTTAGGGAAATAAAACTTGTTTCCAATATGTTATCAGTTCCAACAAATAATAGTCACATGTACAGTGGAGTGTCATGGCCTAGCGGTTAAGAGCACCGGACTCATGTTCTGGTGCTTCAGAGGCAACAGTGACGTGGGTTCGAGCCCGGGCGCGGACACTTGTGCCCCTAAGCAAGGCACTTAACCATTATTGCTTCGTCCTTCGGATGGGACGCAAAGCCGTAGGTCCCGTGTATTGTATAAGGCCTAACACACGTAAAAGAACCCAGCAACGCTTATCCCTAAGAGAAGGGGTTCGCCCCGGTGTTTCTGGCAGGAAGGATGTGTATGTACATCAAGTTGGTGTGATGTTTCCCCCGGGATGCTTTGCAGACTATATGATACAGATACAGATACAGTACATTTGTACAATGTGTTGTACAACAAGCTGTAAAAACTCATCCTGCAATTATTGAAGAGCGCCCCCTGTTGCCCGAAACTGGCCAGGGAAAAGGAAATCAACAATATTTGGTTTCCAGGATGACTACCTTTCTGATTTGCTGAACAATTGTATTAAACTTTATTTTTGCGACACCAGAAACCATGGTAATATGATGAGAAAAAAAAAATCAAATTTATGTTATCTCAGAATCACATCTGCTGGTCACGGAGGGCCAGCCAAGTGTCCTCTTATGACTGACTAACTGACTGACTGACTGACCAACTGGCACTTTTGACTTGGACTGGTTGTTGGTTGGTGGACTGAGCCAAGCAGTGCTAATTGTATCGGAGTTGGGGCTATACTTCCAAACACCACTGTGTCCACAAGATGCATAAAAGGATTTTCATTGAGTATCCATTCTGAATCAATCAAATCAATGGGTCCAACTTGTCAGCTGGCCTTGTTTTGTTTTTCTAAATAAAAAAAAATCCTGCTCTCTGCAGTTCCTCTTACATATAAACTCTCTCTGGGCCTTTTCACACTATTGTCTTCCCTACCCATGTTGAGCTCAACAGGGGTCCAAAGTAGGCAGAACCATTTATCATGTAACAGGGGCAGTCAAGGCAAACCGTTCACATATGGGTCATTCCATAAATTTGGAGTCCAAAAGTGTGACATTGTTTTGTGTCCCTGTTACCCCTGACCTGTGTAATTTGCCATGCAGGTATTATTAAAATTAACATCAAATAATTTTATTTTTCATATACTTTGGCAGTGACGTAATCACTCTTGGAGAAATGTGTAGAAGGCATTCAAGACTGTGTCCTGTGAATTTACAATATCTTACATCAGATGTAACAGCGACAGGAAAAGAATTGGACCCCAAAATTTACGGAATGACCTGTATACACCACTACTGTACATGGGTCAAGTTGTACCAGTAGATTGTTTGGATTTTACCCGTGTAGAGCAATGGACCCATGTAGAAGTCATGTTGGATTTTTGCTAGTGTGAAACAGGTTCCCGAAGTCTCCGTGTTGGACTGGGGCCAACATGAAGATTCCGGACAGTGTGGAAGGCCCTTCTCCCAGCTTACAAGCAGATGCACACAATTATCCACTGCAACCAACTACACGTATACTGACGACCAATTACTAACAGCAGCCCCTACACCACTGCTGAACTTCAAGCTTTACACTTTCCATGTCTTGACAGAAGTTTCTCTGAGTTAAAACTTACAACAATTAGTGAACTGTCATCGACGCTTCCCCCCCCCCTCCCCCCCCCCCCCCCCCCCGCCCCCTCCCCCCTGAGAACTTACAGAGTATAATTGAGGTTCGGCCTGATTGACTCCAGACATGTTGTCGCGCGCACTCGTACTTCTGCGCTGCCACTTCAATGTGCCTTCCATTTGTGAGTGATACAAACTTGATCAAATTGTTTAATGATTACCTCGGTGCACATTAGCGTGGCAGACATTCTTTGATTGGAAATTCTTCCCCCAGTAACAACCGAACCGAAAAGAATTTGTAGGTCTGTGAATTGCCAGCAGCAAAGTCCATTGGGAGGTGGGAAGATTTCATGTCCTACTATAAGTTGTGCCACCTTGCGGAGACACTCACAATCTCATTCATTCCAGAACCACTGCCATAGTCATGCCCATCACAAATCAATCATTAAACATCCAGTTCCAAGTCAAGTCATCAGCCATTGAAATTGCGACAAGGGTCTCGTTATTCTGCATCCCTTCTTTCAAGTGACCAGACTTGTGAATATCCTTGTGACAGACTCGACTTCAACGCTGTCCAAATCGTGAAAAAAACAAAACAAGTAAAAACAAGTACCACAGTCTAATCGAATCGAATCTCTGTCAGTGCCATACAAAGACAGGAATGTTAACGAAGCGTCTCTAACGAGCGCCCTCAGAGATGTTGCACCTTTGGCAGTCGCAATCATGAAATGTGCTCGCCATGCCGCCCTGCTCAGTTTCTGCATCACGACTCAGAGCTTAAAGAGTATGCCTCTGTTTCCTCACAAGATCCTTGAACTATTATGACAGTTGATCCGCCCGACAAAGCAAATGTTACTTTTCTTTGTGAGTCATCAGTTGGTTTCTGTAACTTGTTCCCTGGCGAGTCTTCTCAAGGATTCCCTGCATGTGGTGGTACATGTGGTTCACAGTTGGCAAACTGACCTTGCAGATCCACACCTCTCCAGACATTCCACACCTGAATGTTAACATACTGGAATCCTTTCAGTAAAACATGCGCTCTGTGTGTGAACGTCGCTTTTTGACCACTTTCGATTGCCCAGTGGACGGGACGCACGTGTGCACACCCAGGTTTGTGTGTGTACAGCGCGAAGGGCACGTGACTAATTTTACCCTGAATGTGAACGAAGCCATAGCGTCTTCGCGTGAGGCTCAGGCATCTTCGGCAATGCGTTTGAATGTCTAGCTCCCAGTGGTCTCCCCCAATTATGTCTAAAGGCTTACCGTTAACGGGGTACTTAACCATAACCACAAGAGGTGGGGATTTCGATTTTCAAGTTTATTTCATACTAAATAATGCCAGTAGAAGATACACATGTATACACATCAATGCTGCAGTCAAGTGCATCACAAGTCCTCATAAGGGTTCAACTTTGCCGATTGCCTGCGAGACAGTTGATGTCTGTCGGGTTGTTGGTGACCCATATGTCTGCGTTGCAGTTTGGGTCTTGTTTGCATTGCTCTCTGCATTTCTTACCTCGATATGGAAACGAGGCTTTGTGACTTGTGACTGGACTTGTGATGGACGCGACTACATCACTGACAACAAAAAAACAGACATAGAATGTACTTACTTCTAGGAGGAGAGTTGGCGAAGAGATCAGTGTCACTTTCTGAAGCCTGCAGAGAGGGGGAACAAAAGTAATAACACATTTATAATTGTGGAATATATATTCACCAGCATCAATACAGTCAATATATGCGTACATGTAGCCCAAGTTTGAGGGAAAGGTCAAAGCCAAAATTACACAGAAAGCTAGGGTTGATTAAAATGTACATGTATTGCAAAACTGCATTGCTGCAAAGGCCCTGGCGTGGGCGGAGAAGCAAAAAAGAAGAGGCGGGAGAGGGAACAAAGTATGCAGTACCAAAAATCCCACGGTGCAAAGGGAAGGGATTGATAATCAAGACGTAAAACATCCACAGTCAGAAAAAAAAGCACAGACATGTACATAAAACTTTAGATTTTTCCTTACAGCCTATGCTCGCGCGCTTGTCTAAATTCTCCCCTTTAACAGTTGCTTGGTCCTTCCCTTGACAGCATTCCCCCAATCTGATCTACTTTCGCGCCTGGTATCTCAGCTCCCCTGCAAATCCCAACTTTGGCCCCAGATGACAAGTAGGGTCACACTGTTATTGCACTTGAAGGATCATTTAAAAAAAAAACCCAGAAGGATTTATTATATAAAAATTGAAATACACAGTTGACATGTGCGTCAACTGCTTTCATTTTTTATCTTCTGAAGCCTTACGTTGGGCCTCTTGGGAACAACTTGGAGTAAATCCCCAGTCTGTGACAAGTTAAGCGCACTGCAAAGCCGAGAGGGGCTTTCTTCAACATGACTGTGAAATATCTGCCAATTCGTTTTACACCGGCCGTGTGAATGGCATTGTGAAAATCGCTGTCAGCTGCTGGGATAGGCCGAGTGCATCCCCCCCCCCCCTATCAGCAAAGCTTGGTAAATCACACTACAGGTCAACAGCAATGACAAATGCTGACTGCAAATCAAGTTTTGTTTTGTATTCAGAATAATACAGGGTGGGTCAAAAAAGTGGAACTCAAACCCCCAAAATTATATTTCATAATAAACAAAATATGCAGCACTGAAAAAAAATAATGACTGGAAAGGCAATTACATAAGATACTTTTAGATGAAAAAAATGACTGAAATTGGTCAATCCGTTCAGAAAATATCACGATTTAAACACAATGACCCTAAAACCTGTCTCGTCCAAAATATGCAATTTAAAGAATCGTCGTCGCAATTGTCTTCAAACATCAACAGTGATAAAATCTCAGTTAAAAAAAAGAAGGAAATTTTACAAATCAAATTGTTTGCCTAACCAGGGTTGTTATTATAAAGATATTGTGTTAACTACCCGGTACAGTTGGTGACAGTTGTTGAAACAAGTACATGTATTCTATGTCATTTTCTTCCTTGTTCAAAACAGTCAAAACGCACAATAAGTTGCTTTTAAATATGAACTATAATTTTGGGGGTTTTGGTTCCGCTGTTTTTGACTCACCCTATACAAGAATTAATCAGTAGGATTGAAACATGTGCAGCTCTGAGGTCTAGACATGAGTACACATGTACAGCGTATGTGGCTGAAATTGCCAAATGAAATTTGACAACATTTGGGAATCGTTCCAGGGTTTATAGTAAACGTACTTTCAAACCATTAAAATATATGTTAACGGTTCATTGGGAAAGTTCAAGTTCATTATACTTTCATCACCTGTTATGTCATTCCTGTTTCAACAACATACTCGATGAGAATAGGTTTCAGATATTGAAATGATGAAATGATGCAGTAAATCTATGAGTCATTTCAAAATGCTGTCTGCCCGAGCCATTATGATCACCGTGCAAGACACGCAGTGACATAATGAAAATGGCATCGGGTCATTATGTTGTACAAGAATTGAGCACAATATGCAACAGCAGACTAAAAAAAAAAATTACGGGATAATTAGACCAAAAAGCAATTAAAGGGTTCCACTTTCGTAATGAGAGTTCGTGAACTGTAGTCAGATTTCATACAGAATGACTGGACCCAACACCCATCACCGTACAACGCCATCCGTAACAAGTACTGTAAAATAAGCCGCCATCATGAATGAACCATGCCTCTGAAATATATCGGTCAGATATGAATATCCACCTCACCAAAAAAAAAAAAAAATGAAGAAAAAGAAAAATTTGGTCGGTAATCGGAGACGGCTACTCATCTGGAAATGCATCACACACACTCTTGACGGTGCACTACATGGGCACTCAGCCCACTCCAGTGCCTGAGACCTCAACGAGGCCCCTCCTTGACAAACTTATGCAAATGACCCGCTCCGATACAATGGCAACCCGATAGCCGTACGCACGACGAGAGGATCTTATTGGCTGCTCAAAAAATGCGGTCTTCTGCCACCACTTTACACCAAAAGGGAACAAAAGTGGGCACTTATGTTCCATTTTCTCCCCTATAACTGTGGCAATCTGCAGAACACTTGCACGAGGAGGAAAAATCTTGAAAATTTGGTGAGGCAGATCAATAAGGTGTTTCAAGTATTCATGTGAAATCTTTTTTTAAACTACGCCTCAATCTGAAATAATATTAAGGGGAGGGGGAACACACATACTGGAATTTGTATCCTTGTGGAAACATTTCTTTGTTCTCGTGTGGTAAAGTTTTCGAGTTTGAAAGTGTAGTTTCAAAATGCTCTTATTTTAACCAGAAATAGTTCCTTGGCTGAAATTCGGACTTAATATCCCTTTTCTAAAACTCTACCATTTTCGACAGATCAACCCACCTTGGAAATTCCTAAATTTTGAGTAAAATCCATATATCTATTTCGTGAAAACCTTGTGGAGACGTATTCATCTATAGAAATTGCCCTGCTGTGGAGACGTATACAATCTTTTGTTCCCAATTGTGTGCATGTCTCCAGAGGGCACGGTGTATCAGATCCCAGAAATAGATAGATCTACATCCATGTGTCACACATAAACATGTGTACATCTGACACATGTGTTTGAAATTATTTTTGTTTACAGAAATGAATTACCTGACAGCAATACACAAATTTCAAAAGGTATACAAAAGAAGTACAGTCTGTTTGTCATAAAGACATTCTTGTATGCACATCAAAACCTTGTCAATTTTACAAAAATGTATTTGCTCACCTTAGTTAAAAACAGTAGGTTTGTTTTCAAGGAAATCTGAGAGGGGAAGTTTTTCACAAGAAGCGTACAGAAATAATGCTACTTGTGGGGGGGGGGGGAATGGAAAGTCACCACACAAACAAAATAACCCCCAAATTGTCCAAGGCATCAAAATAACTTATGAATTGTGTCTAGACTTATTTTTTAATCCTACACCCACAATGGTTTAAACCGAAAAACCTCAGTTCCCCCTAGGCTTAATTTTGAAGTACTTTGTTACAAAAGTACACCTGACCTCGGGCAAACCTAAAAATTTTATTGTCAAAGAGTTCTCCTTTTCAATTTTTGAGGGCGCAGGATCAAAAATAAAATAAATTGTAACAAGCTGGGGGATTTGCATTAAGGCGAGGATTTATCGAATAAATAAAAGTGGAATGCCAAGTAGGGGGTTTATCTATTGGAAGTAGGATTACGGTTTTGGTAAAAAACCCTGAAGAAAAAACTACATCTGTTGTGCATGAAGCAATGAATATAATTTGAGCCTTTGAGCTCCCTTTTTTTCCTGTGTCCCTTATTTTCAATGCGAGGTGGATTTGGTATAAGAAAGCCGGAAAGGAAAATCGAGGGAATTTAGAGGATTTGGTATGCCCATGAGAACTGTTCGGGCAAACATCAGGAACCAGGTAACCTCCTGCAGGCAGTGTGTGGGTTTTATGACCCGTGAGACCTTTTGCAGAAAAAAAAGGGAGGGAAAAATCACAAAATAATCTCTGAAAAGCACTGCCCCTGGAGGCATCCGTATTACTCTGAAGAGTAGATTTGTAAACCTACGTAATCTCTTGATGCCAGAAAATATATTTTTTTTCCCCTGATTTTTTTTCTCTCTGTGAGATTTACTCTGAGCGACTGACACACTGATTTCAAAGTATAACAAGACTTCTCCTAGAGTTCCCGTTTAGTTATGGCCGTTCAAATAAAGAGAAAGAGTGTACTGCTCTAATAAATTCTCGCACAATTACAAAAAAATTACATGCATACATGTACACCATTTATCAACTCAATCAATGATGTTTGGAATAAGATCGTTGTCGTTGTTTCAATCATTAGGCCTGCCTTAAATCACTTTTCACAAAATATCTTTTCAGCGAAATATGACGCAAGGTCGAAGGACTCTGACAAATCGTCACCGTTTTCACAAAGTGGAAAACCGCAGTGTCGGAATGCCTTCGCGTAACAAAAGGATTCCTACATAAGCATATGAGGTGTTTCACTTTGTGAAAAATGGTGACCAAATGAAGTGCCATATATATATAAATATATTAAATAACGCAGACCATGTTATGTGGTATCAAGTTTGATTGGAATTTCAGAACACTGATTTGTGGCAAAATATACACAAAACTGAACGTGACTAATAGTGATACCTCACTGGCTATACCACTGAACATGACCTAATATGTCACGGCAGTGTTGTCTCTACACATCAGCGCTGCGATATCTTGATTACAACAGGGACCACGTCAATCAATAGTCAAACACTCTGCCAATTGACCCACTTTGCATGAAATGAGGCTGATTTGAGGCCAGCCAGCCAGCCAGCCAGCCAGCTAGCCAGCCAGTCGGCCGTCCACAACAGAACAGGAAGATGTTCTAGAATCACCAAAACAGTAGCTCGCTCGGCAGAGATTTTTCCGGAACAAGCGTTCGCCTAATGACACTCTGGCTATTACCACGCACTCCATGCCCTCAGGGAGAAAGGGGGGGGGCCTGGTTGCATACACATGCAGCGTGGATATCCACGTACATGTATTTCGCTGGGATGTTTTCTGAAACTGCTCTCTGGTCGGGCTTAGCATAACATTTGGTGAAGCGACCCCTCACCAAGAATAGCACTGCAAATAAGATGCTTGGGTTTCTTGAAGGTAATTTATGGCAGCGACTGATTGTTTTAAAAGTCAT